GTTACACGTGGTCCTAGAGTATGCAGACCAGGCTTGCCCAGCTCAGGCCTGTCTCTGCCTGCTCATCCGAGTAATGGGCCATCCCTGCCCCTCCTTCGGTGCTGGGGAGGGCATCTGTGCAGCGGGCACTGGGGGTGCCTTAGCTCCCACACCGTCTGGGGGGGGGGAATGGTGCATGTGGTAGGGCCTGGACTGACGGGAGCTCAGCCCCCTCCTTTCTGCCTGAGTCGCAGGTTCTCCTGTTCTTGGAGCCCTGGCTACCCAGGAACTGTGCTCTCACTCCTGGGAGATCAACCGCACTTCAGGGTTTCAGCCTGTCTGTGCTCAGCGTTCTTTGTTTCTTTGATGTTTCCAGTTCCATCTGTTTTCAAAGTTAGAGACCTGTTTGTTTGCAGGCCTGGGGGAGGGAGAGCTGTCTGGGAAGATGTCACATGCGGACTGTGGCAATGACTCGGCTTCATAAGGGGAATGACAGGCACACGGGGATAATCTGGATGCCACAAGGATTAACTCAGAGGGAAAGACTCGGGCCCTGGCCGGCACCCAGGGGAGGCCCTGCACCTGGTGTGGGTCACGTCCACGTGCCCTCTGGCTCCTCAGCATCCCTGTCTCTCCCACCGTGCGGTCCCGCTCTGGTCATTTGGCGCTTTCCTGGGGACTTACTTCTCCCTCAGCTGTTGAAGATTCTGTACAGAAGCAGGGGGAGGGAAGGGTTGGGGGTCAGGTGGTACACTGAGCCCAACCTGGCCAGTTCCAGTCCAGTGCCGAGTGACGGTGGCAGTTTACTGTCACTGATGCTCATGTGGGGCCAGGACAACCTGGGGACGAGGCCGGGCTCCGAAATAGTGTGGGCTGTGAGCTGGTGGCTGGGTGTGGCCCCGGTCCTGGTGATGCTGGCTGTCCCCCGGCCGCGGGCTCTGGTGGCCCAGGGCTGTGCTGTTGTGTCCAGTTTGTCCCTTCATGGAGTCATGGCAGCTGATGGGTACTGGCCACCATTCCTTCCAGAACTGCAAAGAAGCTGTGTGACAGTGTGGACCCCGGGATCAACCCCATGGTTTTCAAATTGGGTTTGGGCTGGGGGTTCTGTGGAGGTGTTGGGTCGAGGGGCAGGCGGCCTGGCACACTCCGCACGCAGTGTGACCTGGTGAGCCGCCTCTGCTCCATCTTGTTGTCTCAGGTAGTGGCTTCCTTGTGAGGTTCTGCTCCTGGCCGGGCTCTCAGAAGGCTCTGGGGCCCACTTGTTACATGGACGAGCCAACTAATGTAAGATTGGTAGGTGTCCCCTGAGCTGTGCCATGTGAGGGGACAGGGCCTGTTCCCCAGGGAGGTTGGGCCGGCTCCTCCCTCAGACCGGGGGCCCCTCAGGGCCTGAGCTATGGCTGTTGCATTTGTTGTGCCTTTTCTGCAGCCTGTGAGTCCCTCAGGAACTGAGCTATGGTTTACATACTTAGGTTTACGGAGCGTCTATATGCTGGGCGGGCACCATGGCTGGGCATAGGGCACACAGTCACTGAATCTGCTCTGAGGAAGGGATGTGGGCCAGTAAACGCGATTCCTGACCTCTTCTGGTCCCAGCCCTGAGCATCTACGGGAGGCCTGGCCTTCTTGCCAGGAAAATGCACATGGGCATGCCATCTACAGTCCATAAGGACCCCTGTACTTCTCCAGCTCTCCCCCCCAGTGACAGAGGGCCCGGTAGCGGTACCCCGAGTCCTCAGGAGCATTCTGGCTCTGAGGGGATGGGGTGAAGGTGGGTCAGGGCTGGCTTCCTGGGGGCATTTCTGTGTGAGCCCAATCCTAAAGCCTGAGGTGGAAGGTAAGGACCAAGGCTTGGAGATGCGACCAGCCCTGCAGTCCTGCTTGCAGTGAGAATGTGGGGCGGGGAAGGTCAAGGTGAGTGAATCATCAGGGAGCCTTTGTTGCTCTGGGGAGACCCCCACCCCAGGCTCTGTATGGGGCAGGTGGGTCAGGGCACTGGTATTGGAGATCAGAGGCCCTGGGATTGTGGGAGAGACGGAGATGAGGCCCAGCCCCGGGGGATATTGGTGAGGCTGAGATGGTTGAACCAGGGTCAGAGGGTGGGCAGGGTGTCAGTGGGGGCCAGGGATGGCTGGGAGTGGACAAGCAGCCAGAAGGACTGAAGCTTTTGGGGCTCCTGCATGAGGGAGAGTGGATGGGCTGGAGTGGGACAGGCTGGGCCAGACCTGGGGTGAATAGGGGAGTGAATATGGGGGTGGGAGGGGCCTCGGGCAGTGACAAAGGCCTGGCAGGGGTTGAAGGGGAGATGGCTGGCTGTGAGGACTGGGGTCTCTGTAGGCCTCTGGCCACGTCCTTCTGGGGAACAACCCCCGCTTTCTGCCAGAAGGTGGCTTTGAGGACCTGCGGGAAGTTCATAGACCTTCCCCTTGAAGGTGAGGCCGTTCTGGGGAGCATGGCCTGAGAGGTGCAGCCGTGGGCTCTCCTCCCCTCCTGCCGTCAGCTGGCTGTAGGGAACATTCTGGAAGGACACTTCCTGCCTGCCCAGTAACCTTTGTTTTCTTTGTTTTCCTCCACAGGAAGCGAGGGATAGAAGTGGTGCAGGTGAGTACAGGCCCTGCCTCCCCCACCTTTCAGCGCTCACCTTCCTCCCTCCTGGGGTCTGGGCGCCTGCTTCTCGCCTCTCTTCTCTCTCGTGCATCAGGCCTTGAACTTCTCCCCACCAACCTCCATGATGCCCTCCTGGGCAGGGCTTGGGGTTGGGGCTGCTGGCCTGTCAGGTTTATGGAGTTGCTGTGGCTTTGTCCGTGGACGGAGCTGGCTGGGGGAAGAGAGGGGGCTCTTGGGGGTAAGGGTGGGCAGGGTGAGGGGGGCATAGCCACCCAGCCAGATGTCCGTGGTCCTGATGCCCCCACGGTTTGTCTGTGCCTGTCCTCAGGCTCTGCTGAGGGAGCACAAGGCCCCTGCTCCTGCCTGCGTGGTTTGGTCCTGGGGGTGAGCCCTCGCCTATGTCAGACCTTCCTGTGAGTGGTGTCAGCTCCAAGACCACTCCTGTCCCCCCCAAACCCCAAGTCAGGGTGTGTACCTTCCCATGTGGCACCCCTTTTCTGCTGTCAGGCCACACCTGACCTTCCCAATGGGCCTCTGGCTCCTGGGTGGACTGAATCAGTGGGGGGCTGACCCCCCTGTTGCCTCACCCTAGGGTGGACTTGGGTTAGGTGCGCACTGGCTGGAGACAGAAGGAAGGATGGACAGAGAGAAGCTCTTGCAGGGCCTGGAGCTAACTCTGTGGCCCAGAAATAAATGTACCCGCCTGCCCTGAGGGTGGTTGGTGAAGTGGGGCGAACTGTCTAGCAGCCTTGGCGAGTCCTTCCTTCTGGCCTCCCTTTTCTGCAGTCTGTGGGTTGAACTTGTCACCCGGAGGCTGAGGTTTGTTTGGGGGAAGGAGGCGATTAATTCCTGGAAGCCTCATCGAGGCTCTAGCACAGGGGTGGGCAAACTTTTTGACTCGAGGGCCACAATGGGTTCTTAAACTGGACCGGAGGGCCGGAACAAAAGCATGGATGGAGTGTTTGTGTGAACTAATATAAATTCAAAGTAAACATCATTACATAAAAGGGTACGGTCTTTTTTTTTTTTTTAGTTTTATTCATTTCAAACGGGTCGGATCTGGCCCGCGGGCCGTAGTTTGCCCACGGCTGCTAGCATTTTCCTCCAGGCTCTAGTCTCTGCGGAGGTGCTCGTGCTGCTCTTACTTGTCTGCTCTGAGCTTTTCTGTGGCCCTTACTTTCTCTGTACATCAAAAGGGGGAAGTCAGAGTTCAGGAATGGCTGAGAAGTTTGCCTTCAGGGCATTTCTGAGTGATTGACTGCGGGTGCCTGGAGGGTTCTATATACATCTAAATGGCTGAAGGGAGGGATTGATTGACAGTGCCTGTGGGGCGGGTGGTCCTGCGGTGGGAGAGGGCCCGCATTGTAAGTTTGCCACTCTGGGCCAGGTGGCTCAGCTCCTTCCTGCTCCAGGATGCTTCCGCTCGTGTGTGTCTCAGACCTTCCGATGGTTACCTGGTAGCACGTGGTTCCCTTGCAGGAGGCTGTTCCACCAGCCAGGCCTGGGCCGCAGCTGGAGCTCAGTGCTTCCCTGAGGCTAGCTCCAGCCTCTCCTCAGGGCCCACTCAGGAATTTCTGTTGGGAGCCGTTTTTGGAGGAAGTGACTTATGTGCTCACCAACAAATACGCTGCTTAAAAGGGGAAGAAATGTGCAGGTCCTCCAACACCTGATTCCTGTTCACACAGATGCCAGATGGGACACAGTGGGGTGCCACCCCCACCACGCGAGGGGGAGGCCTTGGAACCTCAGGTCGTGAGGGACCTGGGGGTCAGTGTGTTCAATTTACGTGGCTTCCCCCGGAGGATTTAGGCTAAAACCTTAATCCACTTAGCCTGTGGCTGGAACGAGACTGGAGCCATTATTTTAGAATTAAGTACCAGGCAGAAAGTTATGCAATCTTTCTGGATGTATCTGCTGTTCACTTTGGTGGTGCCATGGGGAGGAAGTGGTGGCTGGGGACCAGAATGAAGCCAAACTGGATGCTCTCCACACTGGCCTCTAAAAATAAAACCCACCTCAACGCTTCTCTGTTCACCTCCTCCTGGCATCCCCGGGTGTTTGGAGAACTTGAAATTTCAAGACACAGAGAAACTCATTGCAAAAATGGGAAGGGAATCCATTTAGCTGGTTTTTAAAAACCAGCCAGGCTTCTGGGTGCCAGGTCCCCAGGCTGTGGCTGCTGGAGATGACTGGCCAGTCACTTAGGGGTCAGTGATGGAAGGGCTGCCAGTGTTTCCTGTGTCAGGTGCCCTGGTGGCTATTCTCCCGTTTTGTGCAGCCACCTAGTGATGTGGGTGGAGTTTTCCTGTCTGTCTGGAGATGAGGAAACAGACTCAGATGTTGTGACGTCTCTTGAGGGACTCAGCTGTTCAGTGGTTAGAGCTGGGAGTTGAATGCGGGTTTGTCCGTCTCCAAAGCCCGCATGGTAATAGGCAGTCTGTCCATTTACTAAAGCCTCTCAGGCCTCGTATCACCTGGGGATTGGCTACCGTTTAGGAAAGGATGTTGGGCCGGTAGGCGGGAAGGAGGACCAAGACGCTGGTTAGATCTGCCGTGCTTGCCCCGTCGTGGGAGTTACTTCCTCCTGCTGTAAACGGCAGCAGTGACAGTGAGTGTCTCATTTACTTGGTTCTTTGGGTGCTGGGCATCGGCGGCATTTACTCTGAACAAGCGTGTGTGTAACCTCTCCAGGGCGGCGGTGGGAGCACATTTAAGAAGTCCATTTTGCAGCTCCCCACTTCCTCGTGCTCATTCCCACAGCTGACCTGCTGGGGAAGGAGCTTGTAAACTGTCCTTCCCGGCCACCCCTTTACATCGGCCCCCCTCCCATCTCCACGGAGGCAGAGCACCTAGTGGTGGGGAGCAAGACACTTGGGTTCACGGTTCTGGCTGTGTGACTTCAGTCTACCTGTCTGTTAGATGGAATAACGATGGTACCTGTCCCCTGGGAACGTTGTTAGGCCGCGTGCAGTTAACTTGGGTAAAGCAGGAGGCATGGAACCTGGCCGGCGGGAAGCTGGTTATCTGCAGGAGAACCGCACCCTCGTTATCAGACGTGAATCTGGTGTGTGACGGGGCGGGGGTGGGGGGCGCGTCACAAGGCTGGTCATTGTGATCCTGGGGCAAGTGAGGGACTTCCTTTCTCTGCAGTGAAACTGAAAGAGGACTTGATTGAGTTGTCAGCTGATAGAACATTAACAATGATTTCTGAGAATAAATTACTGTAATTCTTAGCATATAATTCTGAAGGAATTCAGAGAATATGCTGTGGTAAATCTCTTTACATTTCATCTTATTTATTTGAATGAGTGGTCTCAGCACTTATAGCTATACAAATTGCAAAATGGAGATAGAATTGATAATAAACTCAGTCTTATTCTAGCAATAGGTATTATCCATTCTGTGGATACAGGAAGCAGTTAAATTTCCATTCATCTCTTCTGAGATGTATTTCTAACAAGGTTTTAATTTTTTGTGCTTATTGTTAATACAAATTTGTAATATATTTCTGTTGCATTAATTATGTACTAGTAGTAATTGTGATAATAAGTCTGTCCAGAAGAAAATTTTTTACACTTAGAGCTTTATGGTCACATGAAATTTAAAAATTAAAACATTTATACACTTTTTTTTTGCCTCGTAGTATAATAATCAATAAAAGACCTTCAGACATAAAACAAACTGAGAGTGGAAACATCTAAGGGATGCGGATTGGGAAGTTGGAGGAGGCAAAGGGAACATTGCCAACTTCCCAGGTGTTTAAGAATCTGATTCTGTAATTTTAAGATGGATGGTGGGTGGTTGCTCTCAAATCGCTATGATATTTAGATTCCATTGGATCCATTTAAAAGAGAAACAGTAACAGTTTTATTTTGAAATGTTAATATTTACAATATGTTAGAAATTACATCCTCTACAAGTATTTAAACTTATGATGAGAAATTTTAGATGTCAACTTGAAAATGTGCAAATAGAAACATAGTTTTAAACATTTATTTTGGGGGTTTAGTTTGAAGGCCACTGCTTTCCAACATTATCCCGTTTACTTCTCAGAAATCAGGCCCTGAGGCAGGTGCCGTCAGGCAGAGGCCCGGCCAGGCTGGACCACTCGGACTCCGGGGCCTCTGTGTCTACTGAGAACCAGAAAGGCCTCTAGTGGTCTTGTCTGCTGGCCGCTCGCCTTCCTAACCTGGGCCTGTTAGGCCAAGGATGCTTGCTAATAAGGAAAACTTGCCATTCTCTGCTCACGTAGCGTGAGAAGCCCCAGGTGAGGCCGAGGCTGGGAGGGCCAGGAGCAGGGGAAGCCCTGCTCTGTGCTAGTGCTGGGCTCAGGCGAGCGCCGGAGAGAGTGGGCAAGGGCTGTGGGACAGGATGCCCTGACTACCTGTGGTGACGGTGGTGGTTTCAGGCACTTGTCTTGAAGGGGATGCTCACAGGTACCTGTCATGACAATGATGGTTTCAGGCACCTGTCTTAAAGGGGATGGTCTACAGGTACTCTGCCTCGGTTTCCTCCTCTGTACTGCTGTAGTGAGGATGCTGGCTGCACAGGCCCTCCTGACTCCACCATTTCAGGTGGTAACAGTTGGCCTCACTCAGCCTTTGGGGTGAGAGGCCCTCCCAGCTGGCAGGTGTGGATTGGGCAGCCTGGCCTCTCCTTGCAGCAACATTTGGCAGTCTTTCCCGGGTGCCAGCTGTGTACCGAGCTGCAGCTACAGGATTCACATGGATCAAGGTGAGATTCCTTCAGCTCTGCAGTCTGCAGTCGATAGCCAGAGGCCAGGGTGGGTGGGTAGGCCCAGAGGAGGGTCCTGACTCAGCACGGTAAGCCAGGAAGGCTTCCTGGAGGAGAGCAGGGAGAGCCTGCTACTGGTGATGAGCCTCATCCACCTGATAGACCGGGAGGCAGGTCCAAGCCCACAGCCCGGGCCAGGGCTGATTCCACTCTCCAGGCTCTTCTGCTCCTGGCCCGGAAACAGCTAGTTGCTAAGATGC